TCCTTTGTTCGATACGCTAGTCCTAGAGGAGATGATGTTTATCGACTGAAAGCCTGATAACGCTTATTACGTGTACGCTTTCTAAGATGAGTTCCTTTGTAAGATATCGATATTCCAAGGTATTGGTTTGACTGACAGGGGTTTCATACATACGCGTGTAATGTAAAGAGATCGAGAACAGGACTGCACGAGCTGGGTTAACGAACCGAAGTGAGGGACTGATCGAAGCTACTGAAGCGAAGAGAAGAGCATGTACCGTTACGAGCTAATGACCGAGCGCGCTTTTCCACTTTTTGCAGCTATATGAGATGCAACTTTCGCAATTGAAATGAAACGAACGAAGCGCAGCGCAGTGAAGTCATAAAAAACGAAGGGAATTAAGAAAGTCATCTTTCTCAGCTATATGAAATGAAAACAGTGGAATTGAGAGAAGTCCTGCCTAAAGGCTTCTTGTACAGAAGGACCTTGAATGCTTTCTCATATCGGTCGGTGTAATAAGTATTCTTATTTTTCTATATTCTGAAGATCGCTGTGTAGTAGACGGATCTGAAAGAGAACCTGATTCGAACAACATTGGGTTTTGGGGCGCGGCTTCCTTTCCTTACTATTCGTTCTACCGGACGCCTATTTCTTTTCCCCCAAAAAAGCGCCATCTTTGGTTGTAAAATGAATATATAAAGATGTTTTTGCATGGTCTTACCGGCTTTCTCTCCTTTTGAGCTCTTTGACTTTTATGCGAGAAGAAGCATTGGAATCATCCACTTTCTCGATCTCTTCTATGACTGAACTTCGCTTCGCTCGTAAGGGCACTTGCCAGCATATCAATCTATAACGGAAGTCGGTATTCTCCGAATGATAGGGAGAGGAGCCTACAACCAAAGAGGAAAGCTCTTGAGAACGAGAGTGCCAGCTAGGTGAATTCAATCTTCTATTCTTCATTTTGGATTGCTCCGAAAAGAGAAGATAGTTGCAGAGGAAAGAAGACAAGGAAGACTGAAAGTTGAGCTAGAACTAGCTCCATTCTGAGCTTCATTCTTAGCTACTTTCCTGGTATGGGGATTCTACATTTTTTTCGAGAGTATTTTGGTTTAAGGCTGCAGTCGTTGGAGGACGCCTGTCGGCTCTGTTTCCACTATGAATTAATCATAACACACGATCAGATGTCTTCAACCAACCCCCGTCATGCGTCTTTCGGATAGATAAAACCCAACCAGAAGCGATCACCTTTCCTTTTTTTGAACCAGCAAGTTTATATGCTCAACTCTGTGGACGAGGTTAAAGTATGGCTTTTGTCCAGGATGGACCCATGTCTCTGTTCGAGAAGCCAGCACTCTGTCGACAGGATCAGAGTCTTCCTACCAGCGTTAATACCTTCCAGCTAGCCAAACGTTTACGAAGTCTATCACCGGAGCATCAGTCTCTTTGTTCACCTTTATACCATACCAAAGCATGCACCAAGATATATTCGAATCAGTGATAGGAACGAGGGTCAATGTAATTGAGAGGATACGAAGACTGAAAGGAGAGGGAGAGGATAGATGTAATTTAGAAGCGAAGTGAACAAACGAAGCGAAGTGGTAGAACGAAGGGAAGCGAAGTGAAGTCAAAGAAAGGATTGCATCTGTCTTTCTTTGTCTTTTGCTTGTCTTTTGTATTTTCCTCTATAGGGTGTTGTTATGTGTGGGAGTATTCAAGGCTATTAAGTCACGTCGGTTTTTTTTAACAATGGAATCATGACAATATTGCGCTTCTTGCTCTTTTGCAAGAATGCCTTTAGTAGACGGTCCAACCAAGGATTTGAATGAAAAATCCCGGGACAGCTATACCGATGTGTCAACGTCAACGGTACTTCTCTGATCTGATCGAGAATCATTCTCCAACCCAACGAACGAAGCGAAGCGCAGTGAAGGAAAAGAGCCAACTTTAGAAGCGAAGTTCAGTCATAGAACAACACCTGACTTCTCGCTTAAGAAGTACTCGATTACCGTGCGAGCTTTGAGAATCCAGTCTACCCCTCTATAACACAATCTTTCTTCTAGTCGAGCTTTCGAAAGCCAATCCTACGTCCGGAATGGAATGGATGTGTAAAGCTCCCACTCATTTCGCAAAAGAAAAGTTCGCTCGCTTTGAGATCCACATCCGTCGAGGCCACACTGAGTGGTGTACCTGAACGCTTCTTTCTCAAGTGACCCTGACTCCACATATTCTATGCATGGAAAGCCCTTCATTCTATGCTGACGGGTCCACTTTGAGCCCCGTCTCACGGGCTTGCTTATAAGCTTGAATCGTGCGTGGTACTTGCCCAATTTTGACTAAAATTCCACAAGGTTTTTCCAATGGGTATGCGAAAACAGGCCCGGCCCTTATTTGCTTCTCTTAGCTCGATAACCAGATGAGCTGATCGGAGAATGTAAAGTATGAACTCCTAAGAGGAGTAGAAGAAAGATCTATATCAGACATTATGCTGTGCTTACAGAGGTCTTTACTTTATATTTTAGATAGAAAGCAATTATCATCGCGCCTTCCTTTCCTCTAGCAAGTACGGCATTCAGTAAGACATAAAGAAAGATTTCAAAAATCAATAGAAAAAACTTGATCATCTACCGAAGTCGAGTAATTCCTTAAAAAAGAGAATTCGCTGTCATCGAAGTCAGTCTTTGACCAACTCACTTTACTGATCAGCTTCATAAAATTGGATATATCTGGAAATGTTAATCGATTTACGGGAATATTCCCGGTAAGCCCTTTTGCCGGGGTTTCCACGAATATTAATGATTGATTCTTTCCAGAACTAAACAAAACACCAAAGGAAAAGGATCGATGTAATTGAGGGACAATGAAATCGCCAAATTCAAGAGAGGTATTCAACGTCATGGGAAATCGGCAACTGAGTTAAAGCTTTATACGCGGATGAGACCGAGAAGCTTCCCTTTGGAGAGTAACCCCACGAGTTGGAATCCATCGCTGGAACCATTTCTGGTAGTTGAACCGCCGTTCCTCCAAACTATCATGAGAAAGAAAGCCAGAGATAGTTTGTAAATCCCAAGAACCATCAGCCCCTATAACATCCTTAACCAACAGAGAGTCGACATCAGGAGGCATAACCCCATTGAGAGAGGACACCAACGGACCCAAGCCAACCCAACACATAGTGGGTATTAAATAGAAATATCATATACAATACCTGAAGACTCAGGAAGCCCCTTCGGCTTACGCCTCATCTCTTCGCCCCTGAACTGCTTTTAATCGTTGTTCTCAAGGAACCTTACTCCATCTTGCCAACGATCGGCAGAAGCGTATAACAATTCTAAGGCTCTGCGAGACCTGTAAGTGTTAAGTCTGATGCTCCTTCTGAGCCTTTAGGCGAAGTGTCCATCCCGGAGGCGAGAATATAGGCTTTGAGCTTGACTGGGTAGAAAGAGTGTAGCGGGTCTAACGAGCTGAGCCGTAAGGGAAAGTAGGCGAGCCTACAAAGGAGATAATGTATGGAGTTGAGAATTGGCTCACTGCTTTCTTGCGGTATCAGTTGAGACCAGTGGGTCCCTCTGAAACAGCATAGAAGGCTCAGTAGCGTAAGGAGTGAAATACCCCGTCACTACTATAATAAACATCCCTACGCAACGCGCTCCCCGCGACTCCGGCCGAAGACAGGCAGAAGCAGCGAACTAGGACGATTGGTAGGCTGGGCGATACCTGACAGACGAACAAGCCATTACCAAAAGCCTGTCGATCTATCTATGCCATTCTTCTACCAATGCTGCTAACAAGCTGACTACATTTCCCGATAGGCTCAGAGGAATTCAATTAGTTTTAGAAAGGAGCTTTTATACGAAATTTAGCTGCGAAGAGGCTTTATAGGTTTAGAGATAGGCGTAGGTGACTTATATTGCTACGGCAGCGAACAGGACGAATACCGCTGAACCTCCAGGCTCAGAAGGTGTAATGCAAGCTCCTTTCTTTATCCACTCAGACCAGACACTTCAACAACCATAAATCAATCATTCATCTGCTTCGCCAAACAACAACAGTTCAATATCTATTCTTCATTGAGGAGCAATGTTTCCATTTAAGAGAAGTCTTCTACAGAAGACTGATGAACTCATACAATATTTGCCCGCTCTCAGTGCCGCTACGCTCTCGGGTCTATTTCGCCCACCCGTGGATGCAACAGCTCAGAAAGAGTTGAGGGAGAGATTACATGTTCCACAATCTAAACTGTGTTAAGCGCTCAAGTGCTTTCTCTCTTCCAAGTCCCACTAGGAAATAATCTTTAACGCGACGAGACTCAACTAATACATACAGAGATTGATCTGGAATATCATTCATTTGAAGGTCAATTACATCGAGCCTAGGTGTTGAGTGCGGGCACTAGACCACAAAGAGGGAGCAATGGAGGTAAATAAAATATACATACCAATGGGGAGCCTCACAAGCTAATACAAAAGATCACAGCGAAAACACAAACAAAAAGCCGACCAGGAAAACATAGAAAAAAACGAACCAAAAATCACCTCACGCATGCAAGGAAAGAGGAAGATTTTGGAAAGGTCTTAGCCAAAAAGACAGACTTGACTTCTGATGCGGCCGTAGAATCAGCTGTTTTAGATAGTCATCACCTTTGAAGAGGAGATGAGACAAAAGGATGTCTACCCAACAGGAAGTGAAGTGATCTCGTAATATCACTCACGGAAAATCATTGATGAAGAGAAGAAAGCTACAAGGAAAGAGGGGGTCCTATAGTAGGCATAGCAACGAATAGGGCTTTGAATAGAAAAGCTGAGGTTCCTTTTGTCAAGAAAGAACTACTCCAAAAGAGTTAGATTGACAGAGGAGGTGGAATAGCTTCCTAAATAGGTATTCATGTCGCTAAAGAGAGAGCTAACTAGAGCGCTTCTTATGAATGTTACTAGCTTCCAAGTCGGTGACTACTACATATATAATTATTTAATCCAGCCCCGATGAAGGAGAATTAGTAAGTTGAACAGCACAACCAACGTATGTAGCCGCTACGCAAAGAAGGAATACCACCGTACTCGACTGATTAAGATCACCAAGAAAGTCATCCTACAGGAAAGCGAGATACACTATGCGCCCTAACCTGCTTCTAGTAAAGCATGCCAGCCAGACAGCCAGAAAGCCAGGTACCGATCAATGCTCTAACGCCCACACCGGATATGGACCGAACTCTCTCACGAAAACCCTGCTCACGTACCGCGGAAAGGAAAGAAAATTATACGATAGCGACGAAGGAGAATTCCGCTTTAATGGGCGAACAGCCCTTGGACATACTACACAGGTGTTGAAGAGCCGACATCGAGGTGCCAAACCTTCCCGTCGATGTGAGCTCTTGGGGAAGCATGTTATCCCCAGAGTCACTTTTTTCCGTTGAGCGACGGCTTTGAATGAGTCCAGTGGGGGAGCTGACCCGGGAACGAAGTAGCTGGTCCGATAGAGGAGTGAATTTGTTGCTGGCAAGACGCACATCGAGGTTAGGTCAACAGAGTCTCAACGGTTCCTAGTAAAGCTCATTCCATGTCGCGATGAGGAGTATAAGAAAAGATCATCTGGTACACCATACGTTCTCCCGACCCGGCTGCTTAACGAGCTGGGTGGCTAACGATCAGAAGTCAAGTTCGAACTAGAAGGATATGGCAAAGCGACGAAGAGGGTTCTATTGATTCAATTGGGATCGGTAATTTTATGGCGCAAGACGATTCCACATATCGAGGGAGGAAGTTCTTCATCTGGGAGAAAAGAATCATTGATATTAGGGTCATACGAACTGGGGTGGTGGGAGAGGCAGGATTCGAACCTACGTAGAAAAACTTCAACAGATTTACAGTCTGTCGCTTTTGACCGCTCGGCCACTCTCCCCCAGCGTGTTTTCGTGGTCAGAGATCAGATCCGCAACGTTCGTTCGACGGGATGCTGTCTACGGCACAATTGGCATTGCCCGAAGGAGGCCTTCTATTGATGAATACTATTCAGAACTGACACCTCCACTTTGGCACATGCGGCATGCATCTTTTAGACGCCTAGCTAATATTCCTAGTTTGTCAGCTCGTTATAGGACGAACTGTCGACAGAAACATAGGACTCGTTGAAGGCACTTTACGGCTGATAGGCGAACTGGACCAGAATAGAAGAAAAGAATTCTATTGCGAAATTAATGAAGAAAGAGCTCAATAGCACACCAGAGGAGTGCCCTTCTTAGAAGACGAGGAGGACAACCTTGATCATCAAGTTACTTGGGAAAAGTGTTGGCTATACCTATCTTTGTACTCGTCTTAAACAGATCTGGGCTATCGTCGGCACCATTCAAGTCATTGATTTTTATAATGGCTACTATTGTGTTAAGTTCTCCTTGAAACCGGATTCTAACTTTGTGCTTACTGGAGGGCCTTGGGTGATTGCTAAAAAGACAAATCGGAGACCACCAGTTCCGAAAGGAGATGGGAATGGAAAGCAAGTATATAAGGGTAATAGATCTACTTCGGGAACTAAAGATGATCAGTACTTGGGTTCAAGATTTGCGGCACTTGATAATGAGGAAACAAATCGTGACTTAGAGACAGTCCCTGAGTCTCATAGTGCTCCTAAGGTGAATGTGGCGGAACCTAAAGATGGTAACAAGCAGATGTCGAAGATGGACAAAACAACTTTGAAGACGAATTTACAGAAAACTGTACGGGCCTCTAACAGGAAAGCAGCCTCCAAAGGAAGGGGCTAAGTGGCAAATCGAAGGGTGCACAAAATGATCTGATGAGACAAACAAGAGTCATAATGAGGGTAAGAAGGGGGCCAAAGGAGTCAAAATTTCTTCAAGCAGTGCTATCCCTACTGATAATGTCATTCTGGTACAAAACAAGAGCATAACAGTTCCCCAAACCGTTGTTACTAGCACTGTTATTTATCAAAGCAAATCCACTGCTTTGACTGATGTTACTAATATAGTGAAATCTTTGGGGCATGATAGAGTAATTAGCAATTAGTGTGGGCTTGGTGTGATTAGAATGGGCTATGCTTATATAGTTGTATATTGTATATGGGCTACACCTGATTGTATCTCACTAATATATATATGTAAACAAGCTGAAACCTAAAGGGTTAAGGCTGAGAATTTCCTTCTCAAACTGATCATACAGCAATCATAATCAACGGTAGTTACTTGAGTACCAAACACATAGCACGCAAGGGCTATTTTTCCTCCATCCCGCGCTTAACTCCCCCTCGAGAGGATGATCTCATCTTCCAGTGAACGCGCTTTTCAATTCGGATCTGAATCACCAGTGAACTCCTACTTCGCCGCCGCTTAGTTGTCAGCTTTACTACCAGCGGTTAACTATGTTGGGATTTGAAATGCCTTGCAAGGAGGTCGGTGCGGACAAGTACGGTACCAATCCCACTCTCCTATCATGCTGCGCACTAACTCCATTCCTCAGCAAATCCTTGCTTCAGTCTTGTTGTAGTCTCGTGACGGTTTACATAGAAGGCTACCCATCTCTTAGGCAATTGAGAATTCTTAAAAGCGCCTAACCATAGGCGAACAAGCAAAAGGCTGTAAAGCTTTGAAGCAAAACTATGGCGAACAAGACCTGAGCCCATGCTAAGAAAGCCTGGAATCGTCGCAAGCCCTATTTTAGCAGGAAGATTTTTGCTAAAGATGGGATTGGGAATGCTAGCTGTACCTACTCTTCTTTCGCCGCTGTTCTTGGGTCGGGGTTGGACTTCGTCCATGGGATGGTTGCCAGGTAAGAAAATCAAGTAGATAGATGGAAACAAGGCCACTAGATCTCCCAGAACTTTTTCCAAAGGGATGGGGAAGACTGGGAATAAAGACGTACCTTTGTGGGGAAAGGGCCCCTACTTTTATTTAGAAGGCTTTCTTAAACTATTAACGGATAGAACAAACTCTTTAAATGATGTCAATTTCGAAATCTCTCCATAGAAGATGGACAAGTTCACTGCCCGTTAAGCTAGTGAAGTTGGAAGTTTCTAGTAATCTAACCCGAGAGCTAAGAAAGTGCTCTTGTCGTCATTGGCTTGATAGTGGTTTACTGCCACTTGGCTATCAGTCCCGTTCGAGATCTCGTTAAGAAGAGGGCTCAGTCTTAGCAAGGGCTCGGACACTGGTTCGATCCTTACCGTGCTCTACTGCCCCTTACCGTTAGGGGTGTTGGCTTGCTCGCTCGTTCGCTCGTTCACTCTGATCTCTTTCTCGGTCTGATGTGGTGACGTATATGGTAGTCGAAATATCCCGAGCTACAGAGTGCCGAAGAACCTAATCACCACGCCTCACGGGTACAAGACGGCGGCTACCGTTCTCATAGGTCCACAGGGGGAGTGCTCTCGAAGCAGCCGTAGTTTAGTCTTACCTCGCGTAACCAGCTAATCGCGGCCAGACTCATAAGCCTGCGTGGGAACGCCAGACCGAGCCNGCTCCTTACTATGGTTCCCGAAGTCAAGGGAAGGACTTCCTGTATTGAAAAGGCCTCGGAATACGCTGGCATGCTCAACTCCGAAAGCGACGCTGGCTCCATACCGGATCGATTCCAGGTCCTAACTCGTAGGACGCCGACTGGACAGGTTAAATCCCTGGCCCGATGTCGGAACGTGAACGAAGAAAAACTCGGTTCGTGAACACGCTGGATCCGGGAAGTGAAGCAGAAGCAGAGGTGGAAGCCCTCGTGGTCACAACTCTGAAAACGCGATTGGATAAGTGGGCCGGGCCTATTCGCGGACTGGAACAAGAAGTAAGGAGCTACAAGACGGGTATTGCCGGGTTTCTTCCTTACCGAAGAGATGCTCAGTCGCTATCAGTTTGTCTGGTCGGCCCTTTACTGTAGCTACTTTCGGCTAGGTATTATCAACGAAATGGATGTTCAATATTTTAAGATTACCTCTTCCGTCTTTGACTTCACTTCCTCTTTCGGGGATACGATAGCTCCAGGTTAGAGGTCAATTACATCGAGCCAGCACTAGGGGTTAGAACGTAGCCTGACTCTATACTTTTGGGTTATAGGGTTTGAGCGTGGGATTACTTAAGAACTACGCCTACAAGGCGGTTAGCTGTCTTCCCTTCCTTCAACGCCTATTCTTGTGTGGACTTTTTTCATATTATCTTTACCATGGACGAACTTCATATTCTATTTCCCCTGGAATCCTATCTTGATTCGGAGTGTTATTCTACGCGTTAACCATGTTTCCGATCACTCTGACTTCTACTTTCGATGGATGCTTTCTAAATACGGATACTTTCAAACAACAGAGAGAGATTCATGGTCGGGGAGGAGTAAACGAATCCCCTATTTTGGAATAGAAAGGGACTGATTCCACATATGGCTATGAATCAATAGCCGGATAAGACGTTACAAGCTTTGAGGGCGTAAGCGAGCAATGCTAGCATGGGACTTCTGATCCCTATTTTTTATAGAAGAATAAGCAAGCTGCTTGGGGCTCCCCGGGTTTGCTAGATTTGACACAGATATTAGACCGTGCCGTGGGGCCTTCAATCCCGAATCGAGACGCAAAAACAGAATGAATGCTCGACACACAAGTTTTTTGGCACGAATGCCCCTCCTGAGACTTATTGGCTGCTAGAGGAAAAGGAAGCGCCCGATTGCACACCAATTCTGTGGTGGACACGAGCATACCGCTCGCCTCTGTCCCTCGACCTTAAGGGTTCACCAGGCTTCCCTCAACTGCTGATGCGGCTGCTACGCTTTTCTTCTTTTTTCCCTCTGCAGTTACTGGATGGGGTGGTATATTGGATCCAGACTGACCACCGTAGTTTATTTTATAAGAAAGTGATTGATTCAATAGAAGGTTATCCATAATCCAGAATCCAGTCTGCAAGAGATTTTTCGATTGGGCTTGAAGAATGCTCTACGGTCGAGTGGGCTATCGCTCCCGTTCGCCTCAACTCAATGAAAGTCTGATTTTTCTTTTCTCTTTCCTAAGAGTTTAGGTTCTTCCCCTTTCTCCCAAAGTGGAGGTGCTCAAAAGATGAAGACGGCTGATACCAAGCGCAAAGGGAAAAGTTTCAACCAAATCAACACTATTTCCCAGGGAAATGGAAGGATATATGGCATTGAAAGTTGGGAATCCCGCGCATCTCAGTCAAGTCCAATCGCTAGGCGCCTTCTCTTAGTTGCCTAGGAAGAGGAATTCTGTAGGGTAAGGAAAAGAAGCGAACCCCTTTGTCTTAGCCATTCCCATCGAAAGTTGCAAAGGCACAAGCGTAAATAAGAAGACAAAGAAAAGAGCCAAAGATCTCCGTGTGTCTACTATTGCTTATTGATTCAACCTCCTCCTCATATTCATATAAAGTAAAGAAGTGCCACAGCTTCCTTTCCTAATTCCAATCGTGACATTGGTCATCCCGCATCTGAGATAAACCTAGTCTTCTTCACGTGGCAAAGGGAGCGAAGCGCTGCTCACGTTACAGCTACTGTGTTGACTGTAACTAGACGGAAATTTTTCAACTAACAAAGCAAGCATTGAAAGACGGCTTTCAGAATAGGCTTTTTTGTACGAAGAGAAGCGAAGTTCAGTCATAGAAAGGAAAAGACTTGACTTTAGAATGCTATTTGGTTGAAGAAGTCTAGAATACAATGGTTTCAGGAGGGAGAGCGTAACACAAAATTTTTCCATGTTGCGAGATGATGATGGACAGTGGTTGGCGGATTAAATAAAGGCAAGAGCCGCTCCGATGAGCTCAGTTAAATCATCTCAATGACCGAAATACATTTCCCAGTCGAGGGCTTGTCTCAGTTGATGGTCCGTTAGGCCTATTAGACGCCTATTGGAGCTTTCTCGATCGATCAAATGACAGCTCTTAGGACAAAGCCGCACGGCACTTAAGCCTTGCGACCCGTGACACTTGCTGCTGCTCTAACTAAGCATGGGGATAGACTGATTAACCTACCTTTGGAGAGCTGCGAATCCTTAGATTGCTACCAACTAGACTAACAGATAGAATGAAGAGAGTGCTGGACTTACATACGTTATTTCCTACAAGACGGACTAGAGGATACTTGGACTGAGAAAGACTTTTTAGGCAATTGAATGAAGTGGTTAGGACCAACCTATTACGAGGGAGTGCGGGAAAAAGGGGGTCAAGGTCAATTACATCGAGCCTCTTTCTTTGCTGCAATAGATGAGATTGGCATTGGCCTAGTTCCAATCCTTTTAGAAAAGCCCTCTTTTTGTCCATTCGGTCTTTCCATTCCTAAATCCAATCTCAACTTCGTCGATCCTCGGCCTACTAAAGTCAAAGGCTCTTTCTATTCCGAGTTGGCCTGCACCGAGAATTCCTATCCTCCTATTCAAGATATCCAGTGGCGAGTGCTATCGTATATAAGAGAACGCTTTCATTTTGGAGTGAAAAATCTCTATTTCGTAATAGAATAGTTTGAAGGAAAAAGAGTTCAATCAAACTAGAAATATCTTAAGAGAAGATAAATCGGCTAGATTCACGGTATCCCAGTTTCTTTCTTTCTTTTTGACTCACCTTGATTTGTCGACATTTTCTTTGTGTTCTAAATTACATCTATCCTCCCCCTATCGGTCGAGACTTACAGTACCTCTTCTTCCCTAACTTATTCCCCCTGACGCTCGAGCGAAGCTATTGGTGCATCCCATTCATTTCTTTCTTTGGTCAAGAACCAAGAAAATATCCAACCAACAAGTCTTTCCTCATTTAGTGAGTAAGAAAGCGGAACATGAAGCTTTAGTAAGCGCGAGGGTTGCGTAGCGAAATGTAGTCGAAATACAGCATTGGACAGCAAGAATGAGGCAATGACATTCTCGATGAAAGCAAGGAGTTGACCCGGGAGGTTTTTATCCCTCAACTGAATGCGCCTTACCGGACATAGAAAATAGGTAATGGAAGAAAGAATGTCTTAGAATAGAATAGAAAAGTTTCCCGAGTCAAAATGGAATGATCGAAAGTGCATTTTGGGTAAAGGAAAGGCGCCGTTGGGGCGCAGAAAGCTATGGGGGCTTGCTTACCATAGTGTCACGCCCTTGTTCCTCGAACGATGCGTGCGGCCTTAGCCCCTCGTTGCGCTCGTGCAAACTAGCTAAGTCAGCCTCACCGTGCCCGGATCGTGCTCGGTGTGTGCGAGTGCTTTGGCTAGAGAACGTGGGAAAGTGGGTTGAAGGGAAGGTACTTGTACTATTCACTCAAACTTGGTACAAGAGAGCTTGCTTGTTGCTTGGATGCCTTTGCAAATGAGGGGGCCTCCCCTATTTATAGGTGGCACCGCCTCTAATGAACCCTCTAGAACCTACAAGGGTCTTGTGCCTTCTAGACCCTTCTACAAGACTCCTACACGTCCTAGAACCTTCTACATGGCTCTAGGCCCTTCAAGTCCCTACTACATGTATCTATACAACTCTAGGGCCTTCTAGAAGCTCCCAGACAAAACTAGACCCTCCCTAAGGTATCTATGTACAAGACTTAGGTATGGTACGGCCTAAGTCATCAAAAGGACGGGCAGGCCCATACCCATGACCAACCTGTAAGGTGTTCCCTAGTGAACTTAATTTCTGAGAACATCAATAGAAAAATGACTGGGCACTCGTCTTTGGTAGAGAAATATATGACAACATTGTTTAGCTGTCTATACTCTGACTCTGCATTCAAATGGGGGTCAAAATGCTTGGTGTCCAACCAGATATCCACAGAGAATAGTCAGTATTAGTTTACCATTTTTTAGTACATATTTATAAAC